TTTCCCTGTTACAGTTATCCCTTGTACGTTAGTTGTACCGTCTTTTGGTGAACGGAACCTCTTGAGTTGATTCTCTTGCTTTGTTCCTGTATATATATTGTCATTTGTTGATATTGTGAGGCACGAGGTTTCTGCCGTGCGGTTGTTGATATTGTGATGCACGAGGTTTCTGCCTCGTTTATCCATTATGTTAGTGAGAGTGGCCCTAGTTAGCCAGTTAGTTGTCGGTATGACCATGAGATTGATGGGGCACAGGATGCCAAATTGTTAGATTTTAGATGTCGGGTCTTCGCGAGTTGTGGTTTGTCCGAGACTTGGTGAAATTGTGGAAAGAGTTGGATAAGACCTTTGCGAACATCATTATAGGATATGAGTTATCGACTTGTTTTCCCATTGCTGTGTTGCGACCTTAGGATTTGGATTGTGATTCTGCCGTCATTTCCCATCCTCATTTATTATATTCTCGTTGTTACTTTTTGTATTTTTCCCTTATTGTGAATTGTAGCATTCTTGGTCATTCATGCAGTCTTTACATATTTATAAGTCATTTCCATTGTTCCTATGATTATATTATTTATTGACCGGTAGGTGCCTTGACTGTTCCTCGTCACTACTCCACCGAGGTTAGTCTTGATACTTACTAGGCACCGCCGTGGTGTGCTCATGCTACTCTTCTGCACATTTTTGTTGTGCAGATACAGGTACTCCCACTCAATTCTGTCAGCCTTGGAAGGAGGCGTATCAGTAGAGACTTCGAGGTATATCTGCTACGTCCGCAGACCGAGGAGTCCCTTTCCAGTTTTCTGTAATAAGTATAGCTCTTTCAGCATTTCTCCTTTTTATAGATATTCTTGAGTCAGAGCCTCTTATGTATCCCTTAGCTTGTGATTTGTGAGTATCCGAGTTTTGGGAATTGTTTTAGACTTGTGATATTGAGTTGTACTTGCCATGCGGCATTCAGTACAGTTTCCTTTAGATATTTGATTTGATTTTTCTCTATTTTTCCGCAATTATTATATTTCCGCAAATGTTAGGCTTACCTGGTCATGGGGACCAGGTGCCGTCATGACATGTTCACAGTTGGTGAACTAGGGTCGTGACAGGTTTGGATCGGTTTTTCCCTAAAAAGAAACCAAACCAAGTAAGTCGGTTTTTCAAATATTATAATCAAACCAAACCAATTAAGTTGGTTTTTTCGATTCGGTTTATGTCGGGTTTTGTCGGTTTTTCGGTTATTTCGGTTATTTATCGGTTTTTTCTTAAATATAACACATATACTACCAAACACATTCCGGCGATCACATTTTCAACGTAACACTACCAAATCAATTGCCCTTTGAGAAATCTATTCTTTACTAAAATATAGTGATGATAATTGAATCAAATAGTGATAGATAATTTAAGGACTCAATTTAAAATATATTTTTTTAACATGAAATGGAATCTTACACTTAACAAAAGAAAACTACCAATCAAACTAGAATATAAAGGTAAAGAACTGTACTAAAAGTGCAAACGATTAATATTCACCATAAAAAATTTGAAACTTTGTATAACAATATACATATATAAAGGTGTAATAATAAATTTGAAATAGCTACTCCTATAGTCGGTTTGGTTCGGTTTTTTTCGGTTATTTTTTTTATCAAAACCAAAACCAAACCAAATTTGATCGGTTTTTAAAATTCAAAACCAAAACCAAACCAAACCAAAAAGTATCAATTTTTTTGATCGTTTTGGTTTGGTTTTCGGTTTGATTCGATTTTTCGGATTTTTCTGAACATCCCTAGTTCCCAAATGACCATATAGGAAAGCAAAAACGAAAAAAAGAAAGAATTAATATGGCATGATACACGCAAATTGATACCACCAACATGTGTTACATGCGAATGCGATCTTATCTAGTATTCCTTAATTTTTTTTTTTTTGGTTGAAGTATTCCTTAATTGAGTATAGAGCATCTCTTTCTTTTCTTCTTTATATTTTATCACTTGCCAACTACATTACAAAAAGTTGTCTTAGGAACCCCAGAAATTATTTTAATAATATAACATCGATCAGTTTCAAGTGTTTAGTCAAATATTATATTAATGAAAAAGAGAAACTTTGGAAGTTATATTATAATGGAGTTCAATTTGTCCTAGTTATAATGATTAGAAACAAAAGTTCCATATGAAGCTTTAATTTATTCTATTTGTGGGTAAAGTAATGCTAGCTTTTGCTCATTAGTAGCTTAAGGTTAACAGAACTGGAAAAAATATTTCTTTATTCCTTACTAAATAACCAAGGCTTTGATATTCCAACCTTCATAAGCCTATAAAATGGTTACATCGTTGGAATCATTGTCAAATATCTCACCAGCAAGAGCAACACAAACACTAGTATACTGGTATGTAATATAAAGTATAATATAATATATGCTTCTAAATTGTCTTTTTTTTGGTTTATTCCCGTGGTTATTTGTAATTATATATTAAAGGAAAATAGTAAAAGACATATTGAACTTGAGATTTGAAAATATATAATCTAATTCTACCATAGCGTAATATCTGATCCCTTTGTCTCAATTAATGTGATGTAATACGAATTTTGAGTATCAAACGAGTTTTTCTTTTACCGCTATTTTTTATATGACTGTTAAATATTCTGAATTGTTGATTTTGGTTTTTATGCAGTTTCTAAATATGTAAATTTTATTTTAAAAGAACTTAAACATTCTATGTTCGAATTCGCGGTCAATAGTAGGAAGTTTGACTCTCGAAATCTGCATGACATGAATTGGAATGGAGGGAGCATTGGCAACATAGACATCCCTTCGCCGAAAAATAACAATGTTTAGATAAGGAAAAAAATTATTTTTTATATGTATATAATATGAGATGAATTCCCTCGACTACTTCGTGTATTTACTTTTTTAAAATTTGGCACCATGAGGAAGTATATAACTAACTTTGCCTATTCACTCATGAAGGTACAAAGAAAAATGTCAAGACAAGATAATGAAGATATGCATCAACGAATAATACCAAAAATTCCATCATTCATGAGACTTAAGAACATGAGCGATGACTATGATCCTAAAGTCTTGTCATTGGGGCCTTACCACCATGGAAAAAAAGAGCTCGAATTTGTTGAAGATTTCAAGCCCAAGGCTCTACAAATGTTCATTCAAGGCAGCGATAAAGATTACAATTTCTTCCTCGAGAAAATTCTCGAGGAGATCGAACGTGCTAAAAGTTGTTACCTCGAAGAATTCACGAGCAAGTATGACGACTGTGATTTTGCTCGAATGATGCTCCTTGACGCGTGCTTCGTTCTAATGGATATCGAGATAGTAACAGAGTTCTCAAAGTCATGGGAAGTGAAATATTCTTTCACAAAAGAACATCTTGGTGTAGCAGGTTATTGTGCTGCTGCACATGACCTATATTTGCTTGAAAATCAGGTACCGTTTTGGATTCTCAAACTCTTGTTTAATTTGAGGTATGTGAAAGACGATAGTATATCATATGATCATCGATTTGAGAGTATAGTACAATACTATTGTTCTTATCTTTGTTTCGGAGATCATGGATTATACAAAGAATATTGGGAAACAGAACCCCCTCACTTATTTGAAGTTTTCCGAAGAGAACTAATTATCTCTGGTGACAAAAATAAAGATGATTATCTTATGCAACAACGTCGTCATCATCTTCATCATCAACCACCTGCTTCAAGCCTCAGTGGATCATTTAGTGATAAATGGAAAAAGAACGTACAAAACATGAAAAAAGCTACTAATTCGCATATTAATTTAGGGTGCTTAGGTCGATATTGCTGTATAAGAGAAAAACGTCATCACAAACCAAAAACACCACGATGTGTGTTTCGTTCAGTGATCGAGCTGAAAACAAAGGGCATTCATTTCAGGCGAAGCCATGTGAATTCTTTCAATTGTGGTGCAAAGTTTCACTCTCATTGTTACTATGCAGAACTCTGGCTTCCGCCTTGGTACGTTTCATCGGTTACTAAAACAGCTCTGCAGAATATGATAGCTTATGAAATTTGTCCGAATAGCGTAAATCATGGAGATATTTCTGTGACATCTTACATAAGTTTTATGAAAGCACTTATCACATCACCACAAGATGTGAAAGAGCTAAGAGAAAAGAAGATTATAGTCAACTATTTGGGAAGTGATGAAGAAGTCATACAAGTTTTCAGATCAGTAAACACTTATGGGACAAGGGATCAATCTAGCTTTGATGAAATCAATTTGAAAATCAAAAAGCACCTTCACAGCAGAGCCAGAACTTGGTTTGCTGAATTGGTAAATACTTATTTTACAAGTCCTTGGTCTCTGCTCACTTTGATTGCTGCTACTTTCCTCCTTTTTCTTGCTATGGTCCAGGCCTTCTATGCATCTCCATTACATAATTTACATCCTTCTAAAAAATTCCGGTATTGATTTTACAATATTAGGTGATCGTTTGGTTCTGAGATAAGTTATGTAAGGATTAATGATGAATGGACTATTAATGTTAATTTTTTTTTTTGTATGTTTAGTTTAATGATATAATGAAAATTAGCATACAATGTGTAAGTTAAAAAGTGTTTGCTTTTTGAATAAAATAATATAAGCTTGTTCCCTATTATGAGTTTTAGTTTTGTGTGCTTTAAATCCATGTATTAAAATAATACTAGCATTGATTTTTACATAACTTATGTACCCTTGGACTTGCGACTTAGAGCATCAGCAACAACATTCTTCTTACAAAGATGATATAGAATATTCAAGTCGTAATCTTTCAACAATTCTAGCCATCTCCTATCTTCCTACGTAAAAATATATTGCAAGCTTTTGTAATCAGTAAAGACATCAACATGCTCACCATACAGATAATGGTGCCAAATTTTCAAGGCAAAAACAACGACAACTAACTTCAAGTCATGAGTCAGATAATTCTTCTCATGCTTCTTCAATTGACGTGAAGCATATGCAATAACCTTACCATTTTGCATTAACACACACCCCAATCTAACTCTAGAAGCACCACAATAAATCAGACACCGAAGATAGAGTTAAAATAGGAGGAAAAGTCAACCTCACCTTTAGCTCTTGGAAGCTCTTTTCACACGCCTCATACCATTGAAATTTAGTAGTCTTTCGAGTCAATTTCGTGAGCGCTGCCGCTATAATCGGGAATCCTTCCACAAACTTCCGATAATAGCCTAGAAATCCCAAGAAGCTACAATTTCTTGTCGCACTTGTGGGCCTTGGCAAATCCTTAATCGCTTCAATATTTTGAGGATCAAGCTTGATACCATCCTCGACACCACATGACCTAGGAACGTCACAGAGTTAAGAGAAACTCATACTTGGAGAATTTTGCATGAAGCGTATTCTCCCCTAGTGTTTGTAAGGTGATTCTCAAGTCATTCACGTGGTCTTCATGACTCTTTGAATACACTAGAATATTATTAATAAAGATAATAATAATAAAACGATCGAGAAAAATCTTGAAAACACGATTCATTAAGTTCATAAATGCAGCTGGTGCGTTAGCCAAACCAATGACATCACTAAAAATTCAAAACGACCATAAGGGTATGGAAAGTTATCTTCGGTATATCTTGTTCTTTTAAATTTCTTGAGCTATGTTTTACCTAAACCAATAGGTCCTTAAGAGGATCCGATATAAGACAGGAGTTATGGAGTATCTCATAAGATAGACATGTTAAGATAGCATAAATTGTTGTCCATGGTGCGTAAGTTGTGATTTTATAGTCTCTAAGCTAAGTTTTACCTATAAGGCAAGAGTTATAAAGTATTTCATAAGTTCGACACAGTGAGGTAGAGTAAAGTGTTGTTCATGGGGAATAAGTTGTGGCTTCAAAATTTCCAATCTAAGTTTTGCCTATCAGGTAGGAATTGTAAATTATCTCATAAGTTAGAAACAATAAGGTAGTGTAAAGTATTGCCCATGAGGAATAAGTTGTGGCTTTAGAGCCCCTGAGTTATGTTTTGCATGTGACACAGGAGTTGTAGAGTATCTCATAAATTAGATACTGTAAGTTAGTGTAAAGTGTTGCCATTGACATTACTTAAGGACCAATATTTTAGCCGAGAGAGCACTAAGATGAAGAACCTAGCTAGGAATTTTTCTGTCCGTGTCTACTTCTTGAAAACCTAAACGGGCAAGGTAAGCGTATCAAGAGAGGCGTGGTGATCAGTTAGACCTTTTCAATTAACATCTCTTTTTGATTAACCTCCTCCTTTCTTTAATTCACAGGCACATGAGGTCACATTCTGATTGTTGTGAATGTTACTGAATGACTTTAACATAACTTGTGGACCAATATTTTTTGACGAATATTTTTGCTAACAAATTTCGACATAGCTTCCTAAATTCTTCACCAAATATACTAAAATTTCAACCGTAGATTCCCAAGCACAACCCCAGTAAATCACGACAATTTTAAATCAAACTTGAGTAATTCATAAAACTCAATTGTCTGTTCTTCAAAAGCTTCAATACCAATAATAATAAAATTAGATTTCTTCAATAAAATTTGCTCAAATCAGTATTAAAATATTAATCTAAATATCAAGAAATAATACCCATCGATTTTCAGCCACAAATAACTTTAGTTTGTGGAGCCCAGATTTAAAATCCTCAATCTTCGACATTCCTCTTCTCCTTCGTCTTCGCCACCTCTTTTATCTTTCATCTTCTATCTTTTGCTATTTAGTTCCCGCTTCTGCTGCTTTTGGTATGGAAGATGTCAAGCCCCAACCTCGGGAGGCGCGACCGGCGCTCAATCGAGTGATCCCAAATGAGCAAGCCTTACCAAACACTACTTACCCAACTCCATACGAACAAGGGGACCATGCTTTCGTTTATTCAACAAAGGAAGATAGAATATTCGACCTTTTTAGTTCACTTTAGATCACAACATTAAACTGTAGATAAGTTAGTTTCCAAAGTTCCCATAAAGTTACAATTCATAGGCAACATAAGTTTAGAATTACAACATAGCTCGCACCCATCCGACGCCCACATCTGACCCACATATATGTCTACGGAGCCTCTAAGGATACAAAAGATAAATGCGACAACGCCGGCAACAAGGCCCCGACTATACCTCAAAAGTGAAAGTCCAAAAAGGCAAGAGGTGTGCAATATAGCCCCTTGAAGGGGAAAGGGGCTCACCAAGATCTTTGAGAAGGAGAATGCTCCGCTACACACGATCGGCAGTATCCTCTATGGAGCCAGCTACATTCATTTAAAAAATGTAGCGCCCCCGGCAAAAGGGACGTTAGTACCATGGAATAGTACTAGTATGTATAACTAAACACCATTTTACTAGAAAGAACTACCAAGCAATGACAAGTAAGTCACATAGGTGAATAAAATATGCAAATCATAGAATCATTTACATAATTCCCATAACTTAGTTTGGGGCATCTCTTTCATACGTTCATCACTATTCTCGATACCACCGCTATCTTGAGCGGAGTCCGATCACGACCCGACCGGCTAGGTTGCCTCATTGGAGGCATACATCTCAATCACTATTTCATTTCCCTTATCCGGAATTCAATATCAGCACATCACCACCATGTGTGCAGCATGGTGTCCGATCACGGTCCGATCGGCTAGGCCGCCTTGCCTAGGCGTGGTTTCTTTCTCATTAATCATCTCACTTGAATCAATTATCTTTCATGTATCAATTCAATTCACGGCACTTTGGACCACACTTATCACATCATTTTTCTTTTCAATATTCACATTGCAAGTTATGATCATATGCACATACGAAAGTAATTCAATTTGCAAGCACATGTAAGTGTTCACATAGTTAGCATAAAAATTCTCAGTTTTGATCTTTGGCTTATAGCCCACGCATTTCAACACATGATTGTATACTTCATACTTCATTAAATATCAAGAATAGTACATTACTCACGTTTGGGGCACATCTTTCATGTATATGGGTATATAAATTGCAATCAATCAATGTGAAACAATAGTCAGTACACCATCCAACTCAAATCTTACCACACCTTCGTAAACGCCAACGGAGCTCAATTTCTAATAAAAGGGAGTTTTAGCCATACATACCTCAATATAGCTTTCCTTATTCTTTACAAATTTCGGAATTCTTATCGCTTCGATCTATTATGCAAGAATTACAAATTAATCCGAGAATTAGAGACGAGGTTGAGATTCTAGCTTGGTTCGAGCATAATATCAAACACTAAAGGTGCATTATGATCTTAGGCCCCTTTTGAGAGGAATTTCGATCCTTTTATACCCCAATTGCTCCCTTTTTAGTTTACTAGCTCCCAATACCCTATGTTTTGATATAAATGCAAGGAATTAATTCTTATACCCATGAATTACCTTACTAATGACCCCTTATAGCTGAGTGTAGAAATAATAACTGAGGTGATGAAGCCTTACCTCTTGGGATGGAAATTTAGTTGCCTTTGCTTGATTATCTTCAAGGATTTAACAAGGTTTCATGAAGTAATTTGATGGAGAGGACTTTCCCTCTCTAAGACTCCTCTCTCTCACTCTAGAAATGCTCAGCACAATGCTCAAAATGAGTTATAATACCGAATGTAACGATAGGGGGGTCGGGTTAAAAATTAGAAAATTGGAGCCCCGAGTCGGATCTGCAATCGCATTTGCGATCGCAAAAGGGAAATGCGGGCCGCAGATTGGACCGCAAAAAGGTTCCCAAAATCTGAACACTCTGCTTGGGTATGCGACGGAAATGCGATCCGCATACCCGTTCTGCGGTCGCATTATGCACCGCAGAACTGACCTCCACAAGATCCCAAGGAAATTATGCGACGACTATGCGGTCCGCATATCGGTTATGCGATCGCATAATGGACCGCATTTTTAACCTCAAATTAGCGAACACCCCGACTCACTCTGCGGCAGAAACGCGGTCCGCATACCTGGTATGCAACCGCATTCTGGACCGCATATTTGTACTTTTCTGAAAAACTTTGATTCTTGGTTTTTAAATGCATAGATCAGCTCAAAGGGTCCGAACCGCGGCGAGCTTGCGAGCCGCGAAGAATTTTTTGTGAGTTTCTATCACCTGACCCTAACTAGGCACTACGAGGTTCGGGCTTTGAGGGGAAATATTTTTTACGGGGCCTCACAGAAGAGTATTTTTTTTCAACTGATATTCATTAAACCAAACCAAAACTATTTTCTCAAGATTTTTTTACTGGGCTCAAAGAATCCCCATTCGTCCTATTTCTTTCATTCACCCTTTTTCTCATCTTATCCCATCTCAACCAATCCCCCTTCTCTTGTCTCATCCCATCCTCCCTAATTAGCACTCTTAGTTGGGCCTCGAACTCAGGTCATCAAACGAGGGAAGGAACTCGAGTGAACTGCTCAATCAACACCCATTTAACTTTTATAATTGGGGGAGCCAAGTAAAATATATAGGTCCATAGGGGTTCCTCGATATATTTACAAGTTTCTTACCGAGGCTAACAGGTTCTTGTACACCCCTACC